TGCTCAGAAGAGCTGCCCGGAGAATAGAAAAGCCTTCATAAGAGGAACAGGGCGAATAGCTGAGCATAATAATGAGCACTAGACCAGAGAAAAGAACCGGCAGGGAATCCATGTGCTTACAAAAGCATGCGTATCCGCATTCCTCCACTGGAAGCAAAAGTACTAAATGGTCTCAATATGCACACAGTCATCTCCACATGGCAAGAAAACAGAGGTTAAAAGACTCTGTGGTCTTCTATAAAAGGATCGTTACATTGCAATGATGCACGCACAGGGTAGTTAATTTGAATTTAGGCAGGGATGAATGTCACCTTCTAGCATCTTACACCCAGACAAAAGCCCCCCCATTCTGATTCAATTTGCTCCCACTTCTAATGTTGATTAAACTCAGTTAGATGAATCATTCCTCTTCCAGTCTGGCAGCTATTCCCGCGATATTCTTCAGAGGGAGAAGTTCATGGAGTAAACGACCAGCTTAATACTTTTGAAATAGTTTGCTGGGGCAAAGCTTGCTTGCTGTTTTGCAGTTACGATGTATGTTGAATAAAAAAAGCCCCTCTGACAGTGCCAGGTTAAGTAATGTACAACAACCTGTTTTTTTGGCCGCCCTTTGAATCCTAAAAACCAACTCCTGGGGAATAAACCTTTATTCTTTTGATGAAACATTTAAAAAGCTATTTATTGTATTCCTTTGCAAATCTTAGTAGGTTTTACTCTTCCAAATTGCAATGGATGCTACATTTCTAGACAGGACAGTAAAGATGCAGACACAGAGTAACTATGCTATATGGGCTTTATGCAACAGCAAAGTAGATGTAGCAGTGATTTTATGAACTTCTTGTGGGTCAAATACTTCATATCTAAGTAACAGATATGTTTTGAAGGGTTAGCAAGAATACGGTTCCTTTGCCATCAACCCAAAGGGATAACCCTGAAAATGGAGTGTTTGGGCCTTCAAACTGCAAATTAAGGTCATAAAACAGGAACTGCGGCACCAGGAAATTCCTCTTTGATGGTTATGAGTCATTTCATATCTTTTTTCTTCTAGTGTAAATGAACAAGATTTAGGGTTTTAAACAGAAATGCAGGAATACCTTGCACCAGTTTTAAAAGGATTCCCACTCTAAAATGATCCAAAGAAAAAGTGAGATTTTTGACACTGCTGCATCCGTGCAGACTCAAAATTACTAGAAAGAATCCTTTCCCTCAGACTAGTGTTAGATGGGTTTAAAGGGAAAATCAAACAAAAGCACTTCTGTTAAACAAAAATGTAATTAGGCCTCACATATTTGCCATACGTAATTTTTACTTTTTGTGTTTCTAATACCTGCTTATTGACTTGCAAGGCAGAGAGAAACTAAAGAGGTCACCACAATTTTCTTATGGAGCTGGTATTTGCAAGTTGCAAGTTTTGCAAGTTCCCTAACGCTTAAACCATATTTCAATAAACAATGCAGCAAACGGGGACATGGGAATTGAAGATACATAATGCAGCAAGATATGGAATCTCGAGTTATTTGCATTTTAGATCTATACAGAATGGTGCATATGTTGAGCTTTTCATGCTCGTGTTGCCATTAGGAGCATTAGTCATAATGCAGAAGTTTAAGACTCCACTATAAAAAACAGACTTGCCCACAGGAAAAAGAAAAAAGATATGTTGGGCGGTAGATAGAATCATAGAATCATAGAATTGTCTAGGTTGGAAGGGATCTTCAAGATCATCTAGTCCAACTACCAACCTAACTCTGGAAAAAAAAAAAAAAAACCACAAAAAAAACCCCAAAAAACAGAAAACGCCAACGAAAAAACCAAAACACACCCACATCACTAAACCACGTCTCTAAGCACTATGTCAACCCATCTTTTAAATATCTCCAGGGATGGTGCCTCAACCTCTTCCCTGGGCAGCCCATTCCAAGGCTTAATAACCCTTTCAGTGTAAAAATTGTTCCTAATCTCCAATCTGAACCTCCCCTGGTGCAAGTTGAGGCTGTTTCCTCTTGTCCTCTGTTCCTTGGGAGAAGAGACCGACCCCCCCTGGCTACACCCTCCTTTCAGGGAGTTGGAGAGAGCCAGAAGGTCTCCCCTCAGCCTCCTCTTCCCCAGACCGAACACCCCCAGCTCCCTCAGCCTCTCCTCAGGAGACTTGTTCTCCAGACCCCTCACCAGCTCCGTTGCCCTTCTCTGGACCCGCTCCAGCATCTCAGTGTCTTTTTTCTGGTAAGGGGAGATGCTAAGGTTCTTTGTGCTAAATCAAGGCATGATTCAGATCTCAGTGCCACCTAGGAAAAAATAAGGTTGAATAGAGATCCTCAAACATTAAAGAAAATCAACTTCTCGTCCATTAGAAGGAAAAATTATCTATGACTAGGAATGCAGGAATCTCAGAGCATATTGCTGAATCAGTGAGCATTTCCTTTCTTAAAAAATAAACCAAGTAATTGCTGTTCAACCACAGCAATCCTCTACCCGGGGTAGTTTAAGACCCCAATATTGCACTTATATTTTCACCTGGACCTTGTGGGCAGTGTGCCCTTTTTTTCCAAGGAAAAAAAAAAAAAAAAGAATCACAAAATATGGTGTTACTCGCACCCACGTTTGGTGCCTCTTCTGTTTTACTCACAGCGAGGAAACCACCAACACCAGAAACACGAAACAAAACAGCTCTCAACACAAGCTTAGGGTCTCCAGTGAAGCGTGGCACGGGGGAAGGCTTCTCCCGTTCAGGTATTGCTCCCTCTTGTTAGCAGAGCTCCAACATAAAGCAGCTGAATACATCTCCTGCCATTCTCCTTCCTCTGGAGGCACCAGGTCTCCATGCATGCTTCCAAGGGTGTCACACACTGTTCCCTGTTGGGTCTGCTGAATTCCTGTCTCCTCAAAGGCACGTTTGCAGGTCACCTGAGTTCTCCAGTAAATGGCGGTCAGGCTGACTTTCAGGCAAAATCCAACAGGAAAAAATGTACTATTTGAGTGCTACAACCCTCTAACTATTTTTGGGTTTGCCCACCTGCGTGACTAAATGTCTCAGGTCTGAACAGACACGGACGGCAGATTTGGCTCAGCAGGAGAAATACCACGAGAAGAGAGTTAGCAAGTCTGCATATTTAAACAGCTTAAGAAGGCAATTTAATTCTTGCACCTGCCTTCCACCACTCTTCAATATTGGTCAAGAAATTTCATCTAGTTATTTTTGTGCAGCTGGCTATTTTTAAATGGCATATACTTCTGCATGGCAAGAAGGGAAATTAAGGAAGAAAATTAGTCCATAATGTTCTTTTCTGTCTGGTTAATAGGCTCCGCATGTGTTATTCTATTACAGACAATTCTAACATGTAATTTAGCGGGTTGTACTGTCAATGCATCCTGCCACTCTGCCAGGGACAGCAGCCCAAATGCCCTGCAGACAGCTGAGGAGGGCAGGACATCTGCAGGGGAGCAGATCCACCTGATGGAGGGTGGGGAAAGGCAAACAGGAGCTGTTTGAGAAACCAGTAATCATCTGCCAGGCAAAGCTACTAAGAAAAAGGTGAGGGAAGGCAACTACGGATGAGGGGAAAGCAAGGCCAGGCTGGGCAGCACCCACGGCCCTCCAGCAGAAGATGGGACAAGGGGCAAGGTATCATCTGCAGAGGGTGCCCCTTGCAGGTGGCTGGCAACTCACCCACCACGAACCCACTTCTGGGTGTCACTACTGAGGTCCCCGAGTGTTGTTTTGACAGGAGGCTGCCCTCCAAAATTCCTTGTGTCGCGCGCCCCGCTGAAACAAACCCCGCTGTTACGAGCCACAGGCTGCTTCAGCCACGAGCCCAACTTCGCCCGAGTCGCCTTCTCAGCTCCCAGACACCACCTGCATCCAAAAGCTGCTAAAAAAAGGGCCGGCTGCTTTGGGAGCAGCATCGGTGACTCAGGCACTGACCCACCATCCGACGACGCGGGGTAGGTGGCTGGGCAGGGCAGGGCCACAGCAGGGTCCTGCAGAAGCCTGGTTGAAACACTCAATGCAAATGAATACGGGGTCTCAAACACCAGAGGGGGGGGGGAAATAATAATCTTCTCTAACCACACCCAAAAATACATCTTTTCCCTGTTCACATCTGACAATTTTTTTTCACATTGTGTTATCGGAGGTGACATGCCAAACAGTGCAAGGAGTAAGGTCCCAAGTTCATCCAGTGGCTTTGCGCTTTCGGGCTCTGCTCTGAGTAGGCAGACAAGAAGAATGTAGTTGGTGATAGATGCAGAGCTGGAGTAGGCAGAGCAAAAAGCATCAGCAAAACATTGGAATAAAAAAAATATCTCAGAAAGCAAAGCTGGGAAGTTGAATCACTTGGGAAGCAGAGGAGGATGGTTGGTGGCTTTTTTAAACTTTTCCATTTGGCCTCCAGGCCAAATGATCAGAGGATCAACTCTTTGATCTTCTGATCTTCCTGATTTATCTTGCACAGTATCAAGACTCTGGAGTTAAACAATCATCTTATATATCCACAGAAACAGTCTTTCTATTGTTAATAAGTAAGAGGCTTTGAATGTCAACACTATGACTGAAAATACACTTTCTGGAGCATCAGCCCCTGGCAAGGTGCTTGTATATGTATAGCTACTACTACTAAGTATTTCTCCATTTTATCCCTGAGATGGGCTAGGACCAATCCAACCATCTGGCTAATACCAAGACTGGAAACTCTGTCTATCCATATGTCCATTCTTGCCTCACTCCTCTTTAAAACAGGAGTTCATAGCTATCACATACCACGGTGTGTGCCATACCTACCATAAAAGGACCAGCTACAGTTTGATCCCAGAAGCTGTATTTAAATGCTAGCTTAGAAATTCAGAGGTCAGGCTAGCATTCAGGCATGTGAAAAACACTGTCTGAAAAAAAAAAGATGGATTATTGATTGTGTTAGCATTAGGGGTAGCATTGGGAATTGGAACAGCATCACACCTAGTGACAGTTCACTGTCACCAATACAACCCAAGGTAACGTCGTCTCCATGGCTTGTGCCGACCTTCTCATCAGTGTCACAAGCATGCCCTTCGTGCTGCTCCAGTTTACCTGGGGCAGGTGGATGCTGGGGAACATGATGTGCAAGCTGGTAAGGTACGTGCAGTACCTCACCCCTGGGGTCCAGATATATGTGCTCCTCTCTATATGTGTGGATCGATTCTACACTATTGTCTACCCCCTGAGCTTCAAAGTGTCCAGGGAGAAAGCCAAGAAAATGATTCTGGCCTCTTGGCTGTTTGATGCTGTCTTTGCATCACCAGCTTTCTTTTTCTATGGCTCCAACAGTGACGACCACTGCAACTTTTTTCTCCCCAGTTCTTGGGAAGGAGCCGCCTACAGTATCATCCACCTCTTGGTGGTGTTTTTGATCCCATCCATCCTCATTATCCTCTTCTACCAGAAGGTCATCAAGTACATTTGGAGAATAGGCACAGATGGCATGACTGTCAGGAGGACAATGAATATCGTCCCAAGAACAAAAGTGAAGACCATTAAGATGTTCTTAATGTTAAACTCAGTGTTTCTTCTGTCCTGGCTCCCTTTTTACGTGGTACAACTGTGGCACCCGCAGGAAACAGACTACAGAAAGAGCTCCTTGGTTTTCCTGGCCATCACCTGGATCTCTTTCAGCTCTTCAGCCTCGAAGCCAACTCTCTACTCCGTGTACAATGCAAACTTCAGAAGAGGGATGAAAGAAACTTGTTGCATGTCCGCCATGAAATGTTACAGAAGCAACGCATACACCATCACCACCAGTTCCAGGATAGCCAAAAAGAATCACGTTGGGATCGCAGAAATCCCAGCTCCAGCCAAAACTGTCACCAAAGACTCCATCTATGATGCTTTTAACAGAGAAGCAAAGGAAAAAAAGCTTGCCTGGCCAATTCAGTCTAACCCCCCAAACACATTTGTCTAGTTGGCTTTATTGCTTTGAAAATTTATGACGTACCCCTGAACAAGGAGCTTTCTCTCGGTTTTGAACCAATGTATATTTGCATCTTTTTAACACAACTTTTAGGGAAGAAAAAAAGATGGTTTATTTTATTAAATGCGTTGATTTTAATGTGTCTGGCCTATTTCGTTTCAGTTACCTTCTGCTTTGTGGAACCACTCTCCCTGAATCACAAGCATAACTTTCTTACAGACCAGAAAAGCCCTTACCCTGTCAGTACGTAGGGAAAAAGGGAAAGGAAAAACTCTGCTTTTTATAATCCCCATCCATTGGCCACCATGTAGAAATGCATAAATCCACTACCTGTACTTCTTTCCTTTATACCCCTGTGAATACTGCTGCACTGGGGTTTTCCCTCTCATCCAGACCCCACGGGTACGATGCCCACACCTGGGCAAGGCTGGTGTAACTCTGAGCCCACTGACACCGGTGGTGAAATCCCTCTGCCCTGGTAGGGCCGGCACTGAACGCTTTTGCATCCTCAGCATCACGCCTCTCCAGAGGTCTCGTGGTCCAAACCGCCTGAGAAAAGTCCTCCCCGTGCTCTTGCCCTCTCCACCTCCTCTGGAACTGCTTCTGCACCCAGCCAGAAGCTGAGGGTGGGCACGGCCTGGGAGGAGACCTGCTGATCAAAAGGGGTCATGGCTGTACCAGGCACCCAGGGACTCCTCACCTGTTAAATTCCCTGTGTCTCCTGGCCTGAGTCACTTCTTCTGAGGTACGGCTGTGCCACCTGCAGCAAATAGTGGGTTTTTCCAAACATGAGCAGGAAAACGAGCTCTGCAGTCACACGCTCACCCGACAGCATCCTCCTCGGGTGCATGTTTGAATAGGTCCCTGTCATGAGTTAACACCAGCCAGCAACTAGGACCATGCAGCCGCTCACTCACTTTCCCCCAGGTGTGATGGGGGAGTGAAAGGGAAGAGTTAAAAAAAAAAAAAACATGAGAAAAAACTCATGGTTTGAGATAAAGACAGTTTAACAGGTTGAGCAAAAGCCATGCACGCAAGCAAAGCAAAACAAGGAATCCATTCACTGCTTCCCATCGGCAGGCAGGTGTCCAACCAGCCCCAGGAAAGCAGGGCTCCATCACATGTAATGGTCATTTGGGAAGACAAACACCATCACTCCAAATAACACCCCCACCTCCTTCTTCTTCCCCCAGCTTTATATTCTGAGCATGACATCATTTGGCATGGAATACCCCTGTGGTCAGTTGGGGTCAGCTGTCCCAGCTGTGTCTCCTCCCAACTTCTTGTGCACCCCCAACCTACTCACTGGTGGGGCGGGGTGAGGAGCAGAAAAGACCTTGAGAGTTCAGCAACAACCAAAAATATCAGTGTGCTATCAACACCACTTCCATCCCAAATCCAAAACACAGCCCCACACCAGCTGCTAGCAAGAAATTTAACTCCATCCCAGCTAAAACCATGACACTCTCCACCCCTTGCTTCATACCATTTATGTCATGCTCAGGTCCCACAGTATCCAATCCATCCTCATTAACCACCACCACCCCCTTCCCATCCTTTGATGTAATACACAGACGTCATTCGCTTAGTCTATGTGAAATGTCTGCAAAATATCCATAAATGTCCACTGAGTTCATTTAGTCCCTGACTTTGGGCTCTGTCTGTCATAGCAGTCATTCAGGGCAGGAGAGACGGTGTGTGGCGTTGCGTGGAGTTACTGGGCACCAGAGCCAGCTCAGGTCAGGCAACTGCTGCGTTGGCACTTGTGAGGGAGTTCTCCCCCACCAGTTCAGGTGGTTCCTGCTATAGCAATTCCTGTAACAGGCGACTCAAACCATGGATTACAACAATTTAAAGGTGTATCCATTACAATCTCCACCCCTGGTCCCTTTGGGCCAGGTTATAGGGTTTAACATTGCAATGAACTCCTCCCCTTGCTCCCACACCAGCTGCTAGCAGGAAAGTTAACTCCATCCCAGCTGAAACCATGACAGTCCCTACCGGGCATCCCAGAGGGGACAAGATGGCAAGGAGCTGTGGCTGCAGGTGGAGCCAAGCTCCTGCTGCTATTTCTCTGCCAGGGCAGTGAGAAAACAACCTGATGGGACTGGCTGGGTCTTTGCTCCTGGTGGGAAGGGGAATGGCACCTGCTGTGCTGGTTGGGGAACAGAGGGGAGAGAGGCAGGAGCTCCTCTGCACCCCTCTGCACATCCATTACAGTGATGTGTTGGTGAGAAATGGGCACTGGTGCGTGTGGTGGGAGACACAGGCACAGGGTGCCAGGCTGTAGGGAGGGAGAGGGTGGTGGGAGGTGTTGGGCTGATAGGGCAGCTGGTCCAGCCCTACATCCCAGTTGAACAAGGGAGAAAGGGAAAGGAAAAGCACTGCTTTTTTTTTTTATATATATATCCCTGTATTTTGGCCACCATGTATGGATCGATGGGCTGAGACCAACAGGATGAGTTTCAATAAGGCCAAGTGCTGGGTCCTGCACTTGGGTCACACCAACCCCCTGCAGCGCTCCAGGCTGGGGGCAGAGTGGCTGGAGCTGCCTGGCAGAAAAGGACCTGGGGGTGTTGGTGGCCTGTGGGCTGAACATGAGCCAGCAGTGTGCCCAGGTGGCCAAGAAGGCCACCAGCATCCTGGCCTGGGTCAGGAACAGCATGGTGAGTAGGGCCTGTACTGGGCACTGGTGAGGCCTCACCTCGAGTACTGTGGGCCCCTCACCACAAGAAAGACATTGAGGCGCTGGAGCGGGTCCAGAGAAGGGCAATGGAGCTGGTGAGGGGTCTGGAGAGTAAGTCTTATGAGGAGAGGCTGAGGGAGCTGGGGGTGTTCAGCCTGAAGAAGAGGCTGAGGGGAGACTTTATCGCTCTCTATAACTACCTGAAGGGGGGTGTAGAGAAGCAGGGGCCAGTCTCGTCTCCCAAGTCACAGGAGATAGGACAAGGGGAAATGGCCTCAAGTTGCGCCAGGGGAGGTTTAGATTGGATATTAGGAAACATTTCTTCACAGAAAGGGTTATCCAGCATTGGAATGGGCTGCCCAGGGAAGTGGTTGAGGCACCATCCCTGGAGGTGTTCAAAAGACGGTTTGACATGGTCCTCAGGAATATGTTTAGTGGTTTTTTTATTGCTTATTTTTATTTATTTTTTTGTCAGAGTTAGGTTGATGGTTGGACTAGGTGATCTTTAAGGTCCCTTCCAACCTAGACGATTCTATGAAATGCCTAAATGCACTCAAAACTATCTATATTTCCTGAAACAGCCTTTTTTTTTTTTATTTCAGTTATCAACCTCATTAATAAGAACTGGACTGAGTCTGTGTGTGGAGTGTTGATTTATGTTCTTAAGTCCCATAGTAATGCCCAGTAGCACGCCCTCAGAAAACACAGGTAACTCTTTGTCCACAAAATGAGGTCAGCACTAGCATCCGGTTGGTGAATTTCCCTCACTCTGCTGGGTCGATGTTCTCCTACGAGCTGGAGCTGTTAAAGGTCCAGCCCAGGCTGCTGCACCCCTCACCCTGTAAGCTTTCCATTTTCTTCTTACAACATCAACAGGAGAGTCCCATGGGGTTCAGACCAGAGGCCTGTCCATCCCAGTATCCTGTCGTTGACCGTAGCCATCAGCGGGTGCTTGAGGACAGAGCAGAGGAAACAGGGAAGCTACAGAAGAGGTCTCCTGACACCTCCTTCCAGCCTCTGGCATTCGCTGCTGAGAATTAACCTCCTTCATGGGGTGGCTGCCAAAAAGCAGCGCCATTCAGTAAATCTGCAGCAGGTCCAGAGTGGGTCTAGTCCCAAAGACAGGACAAGCACCCCCGCCCTGCTTGCCCAGGCCCCATCTGAGTGGATTTCAGGAGAGTTTTGACCAACAATCAAGGATTTGACCCTCTTTTCAGTTGAGAATCTCAAGCACTTTCTTCCTATTCTCTATTTTCTTCTCAACTGGGATCAACAAAGTCAGTAGACGGTGAATAGTTGATCCCTACCCACTCTCTCTGTGCCAATCTTGGGTTTGTAAACCTCTGTCATGTATTCCCTCAGTTATTTCTTTTCCATACTGAAGAGTGTCATTGTACACAAGTCATTCCTTGCACAAAACTGGCTCCAGGTGAGGCTCCCCTTGGAGCACCCTAATGTAGCAGCCAAGCGTCCTCAAGTCCAGCCTCCCAACAGGCATTTAACACTCCAGTCATCCTAAAAGCCTCATGGACACTTTGATCACGGGTGTTAAACAAAGGACAGTGTGCAGGCGTAGGCTATCCCTCCTTTCGAAATCTCAAGCTCCCCCTTGTATTTCTGAAAGAGGCATCCTCAGCCACAACCTCCTCAGAGAAGGATTCTCTTTTTTTTCTGCTTTCAGGGCAAATGTGGCACAGCTGGGTTCCTATTCATGCCTGGGGCCTGAAAGTGCTTCAGTAATGAAAGTTAATAGAACAAGAGCAGCAAGTACTACAGGGAGTATTAAACATGCTTGAGTATCTCCCCTTCCCGTCAGCAGGGAGCAGAAGCACACGTGTGGTGGAACCCCAAGCTGACACCCTCTGAAGAGACTCTCACACGGGCAATGTGGGTGGGGAAACTCCTTTGTTGAGAAATATTCCTGCATGTATGGTAGAAAACTTCCTTCCTCCTCCTCTACCGTGTGAAGGATGGCTGTAAGAACCCCTTACCGACTGCAGGAACGCTTCCAGTATGTATTTCACAAATTCAGAAATCCCCATTAAATACGGATCTTATATTTCTCAGTAAAACCATTAGCAAAAATTCCTGTGAACTGGGAGGAGAGAGGACCTTGAAAAGGAGACAAAAGCAATATTTTCTGTATGGCTCGTGTTCTGAGGGGTTGTTTCTCCCTGTAAATTCACCATGTGCTTAGTTTTTCTTGCCTCTTACCTCTGAGACAGTAAAATCGGATCGAAGGTAAGCAGGCCAGGTCAACTTTGCAACTTTATTTTTATCATTTGCTTGTGAGACTGAAACCCAACAGTTGTCCTTTTGGTTAATAGTTCTATTCAAGAAACAGGACTGAACAGAATGAGCCCTGAGGTTGCAGAGGACCACAGGGTCATGGTTACCAACCAGGTCTGAGTCCAGAGGGCCCCAGGACACTTGTTCCTTCAAGTCTAGGTGA